TTTTTATGTTAGTAAACTGTATTGACAAACATAGTAATAGATTAGTGAAACAGAATGTTTTTCTTTTTTTTCTATGTTTTAGCTCCAACTAACTATGAAATATCTTTGCATTTCAAAAATCAGAATTATATATATATTTGAAGCTTTATTATAAAGATAACCTGTTCCAGTTTTAAGAAAAAACCTTATTGAGTTGTGAAATTGATAACTTAAAACAGTTACCTGCCTGATAACAAGCTTACAAAGTAACCTTAACATGCTTAAGGAACATTTTTCATGAATAAGAATAAGCCTGTTCACTGCTGTCAGCTGTAGCCTTACTAGATTGATATAGACCCATTTGTCTTAACACAAATTTCACCCTTTTTTTAGGAAAGGTTTTGTCCATCAAGCATTTGTCAGTCTCAACATGTATCATTCTTTTGCTAACTGTGTTACTGTTTTCCCTCTTGCATGACCGGGGGGGGGGGGGGGGGGATTTAGCTAACAAAAGTTACTTTACAGACTAAGGTTTTATTTAGCACCTGTGTAGAACCAGTTTCAGACAGCAAGTAATTATGAATACATCAAGGATTAAACAGTTAAATGTTACAATTAAACTTTGCCTGATTTAAGTATAAAGTAACTGCTTTCAGTTATATCCTATTCATAGGGGACAGAACGATTAAATAGGTAACTATAATCTTTTCTTCAAGTAAAAGTAGATTCTTGCCCTTGTTTTGAGTACATTTCTGATAACTAAAATAAGTTATAAAAATGTACTGGTCCTATTGGATAGTTCAAGGGAAATAAATCTTACATTATTAAAAAAATAACTGATTTAGGTTACAATTTTGGTAACTTATTTCAGTTACACCCCTGACTGTTCAGTACATGAAAACTTCAATATTATTACAGATGTTTCTCTTGCCTTTTTATATTTTATTTATATATAATATATATATGTTAGGATTTTAAGAAATTTATGTTCTGCAATATTTAAAATTGATAGATATTTCTGTGTGTTTTCAGAAAATGTAAAGCATCCAAAGCTTCGAAAGTGCACAATAGTATCGGATTCCATGGCCAAAATGTTTCTGGTATTTAGGACACACATAAAACAGCCTTCCCTGGAATTAACTTCCAACTAAATTAATTTCTAGGAAAAAAAGACAGAGAAACTGAAAGAATTCAAAGAAAAGCACCACAGACCAAAAGGAACGAGGATAATTTACACGTCCCAGCTGTCAAAGAAGTTTTTTAGAGACAAATCCAACCACACATAAAGAACATAGACTTCCTACTACAGATAGTTAATGCAAATTATTCACTGGCACTTGAACACCAATTTTAAGAGCACTAGATGTCCTGAAGATCAAAGTTGTTCAAGATGAAGTAACTACATTAATTATGGATGCCTTCAAATTCTATGTCTGACTTTCAAGTCAACAAAAACATAACAAAAAGAAAGAATTAGGAGTGACAGTCAACCACATTTTAAATCTATTTGTGGATAATCAGGAGTCAGCAATTAAACTCTTTGGGGATTACCTACAAGAGACTAGTGTCAAGAAGCTTGAAATCTCAAAAGTAAAACTTGTCAATATCACCTCCGAAACAAGCAAACCGTTTTATTTAAGAAGGGGAGCATCAGACCAGCATACAGACAGACCCAACAATTATCAGAGAGCTCCTCACCATCACAACTACCAATACAAACCACAGATTTGTGAAAAATTACAATGTTTTTTTTCAATGGTATATTCTAATTTACAGAGAAAAATGTTTGATTTTCTCTAGCATGAACTTAACTAGTCTTTACACACGTATAGTCTATCCTAGTTAATCAAAGTGTTTACTTAATCAAACCTACAGATAAAATGGTATAGATTTAGGCACCATCTAAAATCATTTATAGACATATCATAGCTAATATGCTGTATGTTATTGAAGTATGTCGGACAAAGAATGACCACAAAAACACAATTTTTATGTGTTTTAAGCTCAATAGAGCTTTAACAACAAACATTTTGTTCAAAACAAATAAATAAATAATAAATAAAGTTATAAGATAAAAACTATCATATCAAAAACATGTAGATAACCAGTGTTCCCACTCATGTATCAGTTAAGTAAATTTTTTTTTTTACAGTAAAATTACAAATTTCATGCTGTAAAATAAGCTATAACACATTTTCTAAGTTTGAAAGAACTTTGTTTTCTTACAATATATACAATAATAATATTTGTTGAAATTTAGACACATTATTAACAGATTATTAAGAATAACTTTGTAAAGTAGAAAACATTGTTGCAAAATTTATCGAACACCAGAACACACTACTTAAACTTGTTGCTAAAAGTATAATTTTTGTACCAAAAAGTAGCTGTAATTTCATATATGTAAATATTTTCCTTTTAAAAAATAAATTATATAGTTTGATAAAGAAGTGAAATCTAAAATAAAACATCTTAATAAAACTCCACAAAAAAATATACATTTCAAAATTAAAACAAAGCTTGAAGAGAAGGTGGGAAGAAATAATGTTTCAATTTAATATCAAATTTAAAAAAAAAAAGAGTAAGGAAATGGGCATGGTAATCTATTTGTGATGTTTAATTATTTTTCTTTCATTTCGTTGTCCAATTTCAACCTTTTCACCCATATTTTTCCAATTTCTCAACATATATTTTTGCCAAAGCTTCAAATTTAGGCAATATTCAAAATATTGAAGAGACTTATTGTTACAAACTATTACTAAACCTGAAATTAATTACATATATTAATTTATGATTATTTTTATTTGCTTGAGGTTACTTTTATCAGTTTGTTTTTTGATCTAGCAAAAATTTGTCTCATTCTATAGAAACTTATAATGTTTCAATGGGGATAAATTATTTTCTGACAAAAAATGATTTTAGACCCTTTTTAAAGAAAAAATAGGGGGACTCAAGTTTTTTTTTTGTTTTTTAAAAAACCACCCTTTGGTTGTTGCTTACAGTTTGGCAAAAAAACCTAAAACCAAAAAGGGAAAAGTGATGGAAACACTTTTTTACAAAAATTTTTCTTTTTAAACAATGTTCATCCCCCAAAATTTTTAAATAAGGTGGAAAACAAAACCCCCAAATTTAAATAAGGTGGGACAAGTTGGTTTTCTCTAAAATTTCCTGCCCTTTTTTTTGTTTCCCATGTAAATTTGGGGTTAATACTAACGCAATAATGAAAATATCTACATGCAATAATCTTACACATTCTGCCTGCCATCTTCTTCACTTTGACTTGTTGCTGTGGCAAAGTCTGTTAAGTTTTTTTTGTAATAAAAGTAATGTTCATAATCTCATGTTGTTTCATGAATTTCTTTAAAATTACACTTGCAACATTCATGTTTCACTTGATATCATAAATAAAATTCAGTCGGTAATAAATTCTGTTTTCCACAACCTCTTCTTACACTTCCTTCCTCTTCGTGGAATCTTTCTCAGCATATCACAGTTTAACAGTTCATATCAACCTTGCCTTACATATAATCTGTTAATCGAAGACCCGTATCATTGATGAACTTATTAAGAATCCAGCCTGGCAAGTATTTGTTATTTATGTCAGACTATTTTTCTCTTTGTCACAAAAGTTCAAGGCCTTTGGTGTTACTATATTTATAAGAAGCTCTAGCCCATGAGAGACCATCTCCTTCTGGTAAATGTGTGGATGGTAGTAAAACATTTCTACAAAATGACCTGAAAAATATAAAACTTTTCCTTTATTTTGTAAAAAGACGGGGTTTAAAAAAATGTTTTAATCTTTTTTTTTTAATTATTCATAAAGTTTTTTCTAAAATTTGGGTTAAAAATTTCCAAATTTAAAATTTCTGTTTAGAAAATTTTGGGTAATTATTCTTTGGTATTCCCATCCCTTTCCCAATTAATGTTTAAAAGCCAAATTCATTAAAGGGTCAAATTAAAAATTTTAAAGTCGTTTTTTCCCAAATAAAATTTTCCCAAATTTAAAAAATCCAAAAAAAGACCCTGCCAGTTTTTCTTAAAACCCTTTGTCATAAGGGGTTTTTTATTCCCTGAAATTTAATAAAAAAATCCCATTAAAAATTTACTTACATTTATTCATACAACAAAAAAAGATGTTTCTATTTTTTCTCTAATTTAGAAGCTGCTTAATGCTAATGTACATGTATGTCTCATTCATATATTTTTTTACTATCAAGCTAATTTCATTAGTCAAAAGGGCAAGTGGTCACATTAAACAAATAAGCCAAAGTGACAAATTATAGAATATACAATTTGCTTAAATAGGATACCACTAAAGGTGTACAAAATTCAGGTAATCATTAATTATGCAAAATTATGATGCGTGAAATATGAGAAGGTGTTTCTTATAGTCAATAAAAATATTTCAGACAATGATGAATTTTGTACAATTTTAGGTATACAGTAATCTTCACTCATAGCGAACACGGTTATAGCGAACTTCCGGTTATAAGGAACAGTTTATTTTGGCCCGAATTTAGCCCTTCTTTATTTAATATAAAGATATACGGTTATAGCGAACACGGTTATAAGGAATTATCGCTTAAAAGGAACTCATTTCTTAGTCCCAATTTAATTAAAAGTATAGAAAATTACACTTTTATAACGAACTCCAAAATATTGGTTATCCTTAAATATATACCGCATTTTCAACTTTCGTTTTCATTGACACGGATTAAAACTCGGCTGAATGTACCGTTTATTGTGGTAATATTATTTGTCTAGAGGTTATCTTTGATTATGGAGTGGTCTAATTGGCAGAATTTACCTTGTTAATACAGAATGCAACTCAGTATACATTAAAACATGATAGTTCATATTTAAACTGATATAAACATTATAAAATACAGTCCAATTTTGTTAAGAAATAAAATATGTCATAGCAAGTCAGTTGTGAAGACAATTATTACAATAGTTTTATATACAAACATCCGACTTTCACTAAATGGTAAGAAGAATACATAAAAAAAAAAATTAAAAATATGAGAGTTTGTTAAAATATCATTTAAAATTTGACTGGAGGCAAACCAATAATTTTAAGTTTAAATTTTATAATTCTAAGTCTATATTGTGTTAACATTGCTATTATACAGAGTGTTATTTCGAAGTTTTAATATATTGCAGCAGGTTTTTGCTAATGTACGTATCATTTCTGGGTGGGTAAACAACAAGAGCTGTCACAGGAGACAGCGAAGCTCGACTAATAAAATACTGGACGCAGTAAGGAGGACAAAATATGAAAGAAAAATCAATTATGTATAATAATTATGTATTAAGTTATAGTAAAAAAATAACATTTGTTAACATAAATTTCAAGATCAAGGGGAATAATTCTTGAAATAGTCATGCTAGAGTTATGGACCTTGTCACACAACATTTGTGTAATGATAAGAAATATATATTTGAAGTTTGAAGTAGACACCTTAAAAAGTAAAGAAGTTATTATATTTCTTAAAGAAAATCCTAAGTTCAAAGAGAGAAAAATCTGTAAATATTGCTTCAAGAGTTATGAACATTGTCACATAAAATGTAATTGATGATAAGGAATAAGTATTTGAAGTTTGAGGTAGATACCTTTAAAAATAAAAAAGTTATAATAAAAAATAACATTTTTCTAGTAAAAAAATCTAAGTTTATGGGGAGATAATTCTTGCAATATTGGTGCTAGAGTTATGAACCTTGTAACATAAGATGTGGATGATGATAACGTAAATATATTTGAAGTATGAAGTTGATCCCTTTCGAAATAAATAAGTAACAGTAAAAAATAATATTTTTTATGGAATATTCTAAGTTAAAAGGGAGATAAATCTGAAAATATTGGTGCTAGAGTTATGAACCTTGTCACATAGGATGGGGATGATGATAACGTAAATATATTTGAAGTATGAGGTTGATCCCTTAAGAAATAAAGAAGAAACAGTAAGAAATAGCATTTTTTGAGGAAAATTCTAAGTTCAAGGGGAGATAAATCTGAAAATATTGGTGCTAGAGTTATGAACCTTGTCACATAAGATGGGGATGATGATAAGGTACATATATTTGAAGTATGAGGTTGATCCCTTAAGAAATAAAGAAGTAACAGTAAAAAATAGTATTTTTTAAGGAAAATTCTAAGTTCAAGGGGAGATAAATCTAAAAATATTGGTGCTAGAGTTATGAACCTTGTCACATAAGATGTGGTTGATGATAAGGAACATATATTTGAAGTTTGAAGTTGATACCTTAAGAAATGACAAAGTTATAGTGAAAAATATTTTACTGCACCAAAACTTTAATCTAAAATCTGGACGCGGACGCCGACGCCGGGGCGAGTAGGACAGCTCTCCATATACTTCGTATAGTCGAGCTAAAAATAGAAACTTATCAATATCATTAAGTAATTCAAAATTTTTATTTAATATAACTGCCTTTTCTAAAAGTAAATTCCTATCAACAGAGTAAGTTGGACATTTCAATAACACATGGATTTCGTTTTCCACCAAGTCTTTGCAAAATGGACACACTCTTTCAGATTCAGGTAATCTTTCATAACGCCCAGTTTCTAGTCGAAGTGGTGCTACGCCACATCTAAATTTTGCTAACGCAGATCTATGTGCATATGGTAATTGTAATTTACAATATGTTTCAACTTCATAATTAGTTTTTAAAAGTTTGTATGTCCTTAATTTATTACGACCTGTGCCGTTAGCACTTGACACTCGATCAATATCTGTTCTCCATTGCAAAATATGAGCATCAACAATAGCATTTGTCATATCAGACATGAGATATTTACGATGGAAAGGTGGTTGAATATAGGATGCTAAATTATAAAAAAGAAACTAACTTATTCTTTACCAAGAATGGCCAATTTTTACACCTATTACTACTTTTAGACAAAGCCCAATCAAATATTCTCTTATTGGTTCTACGAATATCATAATTACAACATCGGTACCAGTGATTACATATAGCTTTCCACTGGTCAACAGTTATTGGATTCCAACCCATATCTCCTTGTACAGCTATGGGTTGGAATCCAATAACTGTTGGTATGGACTTCAACATTTATTAAAATGAATTTGAATAGCAGTACGTACTAGTTTTCTTTTTAGGATATTTTAGCATGACTTATTGTCACCAAGATAAAACGGTCATTCCTTTTATTCTATTATTTCTTTTTCTTAATAGTTTTGCTCGAGTAAAATAATTGTGATCATTTATAATCGGTTTTAACATAATCACGTTATGCTTGCAAACATAAACCTTTGAACACTACAAAGTACTCTTGATTGAAATGAAAAGAAATCTATATCATTCATTAGTAAAAGTCACACTTAAAATATAATAGACGATAGTCAATATAAAAGTATGGAAAATCAAATATCATGTTTATTCTTATTCATGGAAAGAAAACGAAAAGCACTGAGTTAAGAAACAAAATATGATATTTTACGAGAAATTGAGAAAGGAAGTAAAACTTAAACTGAAATAGCAAAGGATTTTCAAATTCCAAAAAGTACGCTCTCTGGTATTGTGTCTAAAATGGAAATAAATGACTATTTTTTCTAAATCAAATGACTCTTCAAAATGGCGGACGATGGTTAACAATCAGTTCATTATATGTAAATCTGTTTGCTATAAAAACTCCTGATACAAGGAACTAATTCGCTATATGCTTACAAGAAACTCCGGATATAAGGAACAGATTTTGAATGTCCCGATGGGTTCGTTATAAGCGGAGTTTACTGTAGCAGTAAATAAGCAACACCAATCTTTTTTAATACAGAAAGCTCACAATAAATACTAGATATCAGCTCATGAAAAAATATGTATGAAAAAAAAACTTACTAAATTCTTTTTCTTATATTTCCTCCTTTGACTATTGTTTATATGAACCTCAATACTAGTCTCCCCAGCGGAGATCAGCTTAGCATGCCACAACATTAGAAGGCCGAGAGCCAGAGTTACACCGGAACACAAAATAAACTGATATAATACTGCAATATGATAATAGTACTCCTTAAAATTCTCCCTATCAGGTGGATTATCATTGAGCAACATTGTCTTTGGCTCTGTACTTTTCTGAAATACAAATACATGTACATGGTGAAAAAAAGATAGCAATGGACAAAATAGAAATTAAAGCTGTCTAAACTTGATTTTTATCCCAAATCCTTGATACGTAATCTTTATTGACATCACTTAGTAAATTCATTTCATTTGTTCATTGTATAGTAAGGTACATGTATGAATATGTTATAAAGCTAAATAATGCTGTGAATGTTATACGGGTAGGAGGTTTATACCAGATTCCCACATTTCACTCACATTTCACAATTATTGTAATAGATGTAGATAAGTTAGATTAGTTTAAAGTTCAACTTAAATATTTTTTGTTAGGTTTTATGTCGCACCAACACAGTAAAGGTCATATGATGACTTTCCATCTTTACTGGTGGAGGAAAAGTTAAGGTGACTGTGCACCTAGGTAGAAGCAACAACATTATGTTAGCTATCTAGATAGCCTTCTCATATGAAATAATCCAAAGTCCCTGGTTTGACTTGAACCCACAGCAGCAAGGGACAAGTGGTTTGAAGTCAACATCAACATTAATAACTCAGCCATAAATGCTCCAACCATTTAAATATCACTAGTAAGGTTGAACACTTAGAAAGATATCTCCCTAAAATCAACTAGTAATCATTTAGTAAACAGTAATTAACATGTCATCTGCAAATAATGGGCGTTTTCCCATTTATTGGTTATCAGCAATTTACTGGTAATCAGCAAGTTATAAATTAACAAGTTATTGGTTATCAACAAGCGATTGGTAATAAGCAAATTACTTGTAATCAGCAAGTTATTGGTTCAACAAGTAATGGGTATTTTCCATGGCAATTGCTAAATAACAAGTTATTTTCCATGGTAATTGCTAAATAACAAGTTAAACAACAAATTACAACAACAAATGTTTAACTTACTTTTGGATTGTAAAAGGCATCATGGATGGCATTCAGTGGGTATAATAATGGTGGGAATGGTGTCGGCTGAAATACATCAATGAAAAATTTCTTGGTTATGAATCTAAATCATGAAATCTAAGATTGTCTCCAAGATTTTTGTTGATTATGTTTGTTTCAATGCTGATTTATCATTATACTTTACCTTTTTTTTACTTGTATTCATTATATGAAATAAAATATAATATAAACAGTCTGCATGAAAAACTTTTCATGGTTATAGACATTCGGATTTGTCCATCAAAATATCATATAGCCCGAACCAAATTAGCTAGCCCGAAAATTCTAACAAAAATTGTTGCCCTAGTTTTTTAAATTTACTTAAATCTGGAGAAAAAAATGCAAAGTGATATCACTTTATTAACATTTATTTCTGATCTTCTTAGATAGCGTTGTAGCTTACTCAGAAAAATTCAATATGCATATCCCTCTTGATCATTATAAATACTATGGGTGTAAATGCTTTATATAAATTGTTTTGGAAAATTCACTCAGTCATTGAGTATGTATTTTTTCGAATCTTAAAACATTGCTAGACTGTCGGACTACACTCCCTACAATTTATGCTAGCCCGAACGGAATTTTAATAGACTGGGGCTCGGACTTTGTCTATTTTTTGCAGACTGTATAAATTATATCGTTGTTTTTTTTTTCTTCACATTTATTCAACCTGTTCTGTCATAAGACAAGATATATGACACTGAAAAGACACTAAATTTTATAACAATACATGCAAAATACTATTTAAAGGCACAAATTTATGCCTTAGAATTTTTTTTTTAAAATCTTTAGAAATGTCAAACATGTGTTTACTTGGTGTTTGAAATAATAATATTACATGTTTAAAAACTGTTGAAAGTAGTGCTGAACATGCAGTTATGTGTCATAAAGGTAGCAAATTGTAAACAAATAAGTAATATTTTTTATTTTCATACAAAATACTAATTTACTACAGTACAATAAAACAAATTGCCGACAGAGATATAATTGCAAAAGATGTATATGGCAAATTAGTATAACTTTGAAAACTGTAACAAGATATCAAAAATGATGAGTTTTTGAAAAATTAAATTGTTAAGATTTCTGAGGCATAATGGGCCTTTTACAACTTACCTTATCACCATAGAAATGTTGCCTGAACAATTCATGTCCCGTCCAGCTTACATATATAGTACCTAGCCACATGTACACACAGAAAAGAAAGAAATAGCGGTGGTTGTGGTGGCCTACACAGTTATTTAACCAAGCTATAACACTAGTCAAGGAAATACAAAATATATTATAATATTTACCTTAATTTTCTCTTTGAACTTATAATTTACTACTGACTCACATTATGTCTTTTGTCTGTTTAGAGCATTTTCTCCAGCTTGTGATCACAAGCACTATGAGATCTGTACTAGAGTTCTAGAGGAGCTTTTTGAATTTAACGAAGTATTTTAACATTGTTTTTATATGTAGAAGCCAAACATTATATACTATCTCATAACTTTACAAGTAACATTTGCATAACAATGCATTATAATGTGTTACTTAAATACCAAAAGTTTTTAAAAGCAAAGAAAATATCAGATGTTTAAAAAAAAAAAAAAATATTCCTACACATTTCAGCTGAAGTCAAAGAAAACAGCCAGTATATCCCCATCATAACTTAATATACCAAAGGATACGACAATGATGGTCCATCTTAAGTACACATTTACCACATATTGTACAATGGTGGGTTCTTGGTGGTTTAGGAGAAATACACTTCTTACAGATTGACACAACTTCCGGAACATTCTGCAGAAATCAAACATGTACATGTTTATAGGTTGCTTAATATTATTCCAGGAAACTTGCACTTGTAAATAAATTGTTATGACAGTACCTTCATCTTAAGTTGCTTGTTTGTTTTCTGGTTTTAACACATATTTTGATCTTATCTCTAGCAGTCAAGCAGATAGCTTCCTCACATGAAAGAATCCATAGTCCCAGAGTGTCAGGATTCGAACCAACAGCATTGAGGGGCAAGTCAACGAACTTAACCACTCGACCACAGACGCCCCCAACACATATTTGAAGTAGCTCTCAATAACTACACATTAAAAGAAGTATATTTTTTTAATTGTAAAAAACCATTCTAAATATAGAAACATTTACCTGAGCTGGAGGTGTCCCGGGTTGTGTAAACACTGCCATCACGTAATGGAAAATGATATTTGCTAAAAGTAAATGTCCAAATATCAAATGGAAAATGGTCCAGCCAATATGATACAGCTCATACACATGTGGTAGTAGACAAACATAGAATATAGTCACCACTGATGTTGTCATTAATGTTACCAAAGTAACGAAAATCTGAAGAATGAAAAAGAAGGAACAATATATTACAATGTTCATATGAAAGAAAACAAAGCAAAAAGCTTTGCAAAACTAATGTAAAGCTTGGGAAAATGAATTTTTTTTTACAGATTTCATATTGTAAAAAATTGTAACCTTAGTACAATAGCATAAAGTTCTTATTTTTAATACAGTTTATTTTTGCAAAACTTGCATTTCTCAAATAAAAAAGTTCTCATTTTACGCTAATTAAGAATAAAAATGTTTGATAATTCTTAAGCAGTTGAAATTTTGCAGAAAAAAAAGTGTTTTTTTCCTAGAATAGAGCCCAGTGTCAACATCTAATTTAGCACTAATGACCGTTAATCCTGAGATCCATCAATTACCCAAAAACTGGGGGGAAATTTCTGCATCAGATAGAAGATTTGCCAAGTTCATGGACTTTGTTTTGGTACGCAAGTGTGTAAATTATGAGGCCATTGGAACAGGTAGAACTTCAGATATGTTTAGGTTAACTTCCTATAGAATACTGTACATGTATGCCCAGAAGGTCATAAACAAGAGCTGTCCGTAAGACAGCGCGCTCGACTTTTTTATTGCTTGCCAATAAAAAAAGTTTTTGCAGTAAAAGGCAATACAAGAATCTCTGTATTTTTAAAGTGAACAATGGCCATGAGCATTAAGATATTTAGTGAAGAATTATTTTACTGAATTGTGTGATACCCTTGAACACTGCAGCAAAGTTTGAAATGTTTAAGTCAAAAGAGGGCTGGTAAGAAAGAAAAAAAAACTTTTTTAGTGCTTGCCTATAATACAAAACATTGACAGTTAAGGGCCATAATTCAAATAAAATCTTTGACAGAATTACCTTCTCCTGGACATGTTTGGGAATCATGATTGTAAACAAGTATTCCAACTTTCAAATTAATATCTCAAACAGTTCAGTCAAAAAGTGGACTGGTACTAAAAACTTAACCAAGATTCTAAGTCGATAAAAGGCCTTAATTTTTAAAACAAATCCTTGACAGAGTTACCTTCTCTTGCGTACAGATGGGGGTAATGATGTGAAATAGCATTAAAAGTTTCAAAGCAATATCTCAAAGGGTTAAGGCAATAAGTGGATTTTACCCATATTCAATGTATTTTCTAAGTCAAAAAGGGGCATAATTCTGTCAAAAACCTTGACAGAGTTATGTCCTCTTGTCTGTTGATGAAGGTCGTGATGGTAAACAAGTATGGTCAGTTTCAAAGCAATACCTCCAATGGTTTGAAATAAAGTGAGGTGGTACAAAAAACTTAACCAAGCTCAATACACTTTCTAAGTCAAAAAAGGGCCATAATTCTGTCAAAAACCTTGACAGAGTTATGTACTCTTGTCTGTAGATGGAGGTTATGATGGTGAACAAGTATGGTAAGTTTCAAAGCCATACTTGTAATACTTCTGAAATAAAGTGGGGTGGTACGAAAAACTTAACCAAGGTGTGAAGCCGACGCCGACGCCGGGGCGAGTAGGATAGCTCCCCTTTTCATAGAAAAGTCGAGCTAAAAACTACTTACTGGTCCTAAATATTTTGCAAATTTGTCCACAAACCAAAACATTGGTTCCATCAGTGTTTCAAATGCAATCAAAAATGTTGTGAAATAATTGTAGCAGAGCGTCATGTGGAGAATGCTCCACCATTCCACGTAACCACGAACACGGCGCCGCAATCGCCATGGCAACCATTTCAGCATTGACCGCATGAGACACAATCTGTTGACATATAAGGCTACTGGTTGTATATGATGGTACATTCACCTGAAATATACCATAAATTCATGTAAATAGCTACATGAAAGGAATAATGCTTTGGACAAATAAACAACAATGTTTTGCCTACAAGAGAAAAATAAAATCATGTACATGAAAACTGGGCAAATTGCCTGATGTTAACTAATTGTTTACGACCTAAAACATGTTAAACTAGAACTGCCACTATCTTGGCGTGAATACCCCCGCATACCACTTTGTCAGAATCAACAGTGGCCATTTAGAGCTCAAGGACAACCTCCCTGCCAAATCTGAGGTTACTAAGCCAGTGCATTGCTAAGTTATGTATTCTACAAGCTTCAAATGTGAAAATGTCAAAATCAATACATTGCGGACATGACATTCTTTAGCAATTGAGAAGAAAAGCTTTTTTTGTCAAGGTCCCTGTGACCTTGACCTTTGACCCAGTGACCTCAAAGTCAATAGGGGTCACCTTATAGTCATGATCAACATCCATGCCAAATATGAAGACTGTGGGTCAAAGGAATCTTAAGTAAATGGGTGGACAAACTTTTTGAAGTCAAAGTCCCTACGACCTTGACCTTTGATCCAGTGACCTCAAAATCACAAGGGGTCATCTACTTATCATGATCAACATCCATGCCAAATATGAAGACTGTGGGTCAAAGGAATCTAAAGTTATTGGGCAGACAAACTTTTTGAAGTCAAAGTCCCTGTGACCTTGACCTTTGACCTGGTGACCTCAAAATCAATAGGGGTCATCTACTAATCATGACTAACCTCCATGCCAAACATGAAGACTGTGGGTCAAAGGAATCTTAAGTTATAGGGCGGACAAGCTTTTTGAAGTCAAGGCCCCTGTGACCTTGACCTTTGACCTGGTGACCTCAAATTCAATAGGGGTCATCTACTAATCATGACTAACCTCCATGCCAAATATGAAGACTGTGGGTCAAAGGAATCTTAAGTTATTTGGCGGACAAGCTTTTTGAAGTCAAGGCCCCTGTGACCTTTGACCTGGTGACCTCAAAGTCAATAGGGGTCATCTACTAATCATGACTAACCTCAATGCCAAATATGAAGACTATGGGTCAAAGGAATCTTAAGTTATTGGGCGGACAAGCTTTTTGAAGTCAAGGCCCCTGTGACCTTGACCTTTGACCTGATGACCTCAAAATTAATAGGGGTCATCTACTTATCATGACTAACCTCCATGCCAAATATGAAGACTATGGGTCAAAGGAATCTTAAGTTATTGGGGGGACAAGCTTTTTGAAGTCAAGGCCCTTGTGACCTTGACCTTTGACCTGATGACCTCAAAATCAATAGGGGTCATCTACTAATCATGACTAACCTCCATGCCAAATATGACGACTGTAGGTCAAAGGAATCTTAAGTTATTGGGCGGACAAGCTTTTTGAAGTCAAGGCCCCTGTGACCTTGACCTTTGACCTGGTGACCTCAAAATCAATAGGGGTCATCTACTAATCATGACTAACCTCCATGCCAAATATGACGACTGTAGGTCAAAGGAATCTTAAGTTATTGGGCGGACAAGCTTTTTGAAGTCAAGGCCCCTGTGACCTTGACCTTTAACCTGGTGACCTCAAAATCAATAGGGGTCATCTACTAATCATGACTAACCTCCATGCCAAATATGAAGACTGTAGGTCAAAGGAATCTTAAGTTATTGGGCAGACAAGCTTTTTGAAGTCAAGGCCCCTGTGACCTTGACCTTTGACCTAGTGACCTCAAAATCAATAGGGGTCATCTACTAATCATGACTAACCTCCATGCCAAATATGAAGACTAAGGGTCAAAGATATCTTAAGTTATTGGGTGGACAAGAAAAAACCGACGGACGGCCGGACAGCCGGACGGACAAGCTGATTCCAGTATACCCCCCTTACAACTTTGTTGTGCGGGGGTACAATTAATTTAAAAAAAAAAAACACAATAGTTGTAGCTAAAGTTTTGAATTCCATTTTATTACAATGCACCTATTTTAGTAAAGCAAAAACTATTTCAACTAAGGGTTTTCATTCAGATATCAAGTGCAAATGAATAATGAAAATACAAATATAATAGAACAAAACAACATTTTTCATATACATTTGTATTTATGCAATTCAGGGCCCATTATGTGTAAGACAGTTAAATCCTGTATACAGCAAAATTCAGTCAATAATTTATTCTAAAATTCACAAACAATGACTCAGTATCCATGCTGGGTGTCTGAAACAAAAGTGAATGCTTATGATCATGAAGATGTGTGAGAAGTTTCTAGCAAATATGTTAAGTAAACTAGAAATGTGTCATCATGCCACGGATGCCCCAGCATGCAGCCAAAATTTCAGATGGTGCATTAATTATTTTTTTCATTTTAAGTTCAAAGCCCTTAAAACTTTTCAATGTTAACACAAACCATTTTCATACAATGTTCAAGGCACTGAAATTATTCAGTCTTAACCTTTTAAAAATAGCATATTGCATTTTTGTAGCCAAAATAATGGCTAAAAGTATGAGTGCTGAAACTGAAAGTTCAAAATTTTTCCAACATTCAGGAAAGATAAGTTTGTCTAAAATCATTGAACCACGACCAAATTCAAACTTAAACTGCTTATTCCTAAGATGTATCTATATTATTTTCAAAGTGAAATTAGGGACATAACTCTGCCAAAAAATCATCAAACCATGACCAAATTCCAACTTGACCTGCCCATTCCTTTGACATATCTATATGTCAAATTTAAGTTGAACAAGCAAATTCGTTGAATTTATATCCCCCGCAGAGTACTGGTTATTATTAACACAACAACTGAAGACATAAGGCTTTATTTATATATTAATCATGGCATAAACTGTAATATTCTTTGAACGCATTGTACCTTCAAACAAGAAGAATTTTTAAGTTTTCACTATATACATATAAGGAAAATCTATGACCCCCTGGAGTGGGGCCAATTTTGACCACAGGGCTAAAATTTGAACAATTTTGGTAGAGGACCTATAGGTTATATCATATACCAAATATCAAAGCTCTAGGCCTTGTACTTTCAGACAAGATTTTTTAATTTTGCATTTTTGAAACTCCTTTTCTGGCCCTGTGACCTACTTATGCAACAGACCGGAACCATTTGATCAACTTTGGCAGGGGACTACCCTAGGATCATTCCTGTAAAGTTTGGTTGCAGTCATTTGTTTCTGAGGAGATGTTGTTTAAAGAAATTGCTGACGATGCACGACGACGGACGGTGGGGGATCACAATAGCTCACCTAAATGTAAAAACATCTTAATCTCCAGACTTCATTGCTATTTTCAAGGCATCAAGAAGGGATCTCACAATTTTCAAATATTTTTAAATGTTATTGTAACAAATCATTTTAATTCTTCTTTAATAAAAACTAGAAATGTGTCCAGCGCCACTGTTCTGTCAATCTTATGACTGTAGGTCAAATATTTTTTGAAAACTAAAAATCTTTTTACTAAGTAAAGGGCAAGAACTTTACAAATACTGAATAAATCCCCAAGCAAACCCCAAATTGAAAATTGCAAATTTATACTACTGTAATTCAAGGGCAATAACTCTAACAAAACTGAAAAAAATCCACATGCAAAGTCCCAGGTTCATAGCTTCACAGTGAGGTGAATCATTATTCCTGTAATTTAGTGATATTGATCATTATTCCTGTAAAGTTGGTCGATTCTAACTCAAGCACTCAAGGATCAAATAACAACATAATGAAACAGTTTTTACTAAGTCAAGGGAAATAACTCTACAAATACTGGATAAATCCACAAGCGAAACCCCAGGAACAAACTAAATATGCTGAGCAACTTTCCAATAAGGTTTAATGACTCTATGTCAAATCCTTTTCGAGTTACATGCGACACATGTTGAAAATTGCAAACATTTTCTAAGTCTAGGGCAATAACTCTAAAAATACTAAATAAATCCAGACGAAAATACCCAGGTGCACAACTACACATGCTGATCAACATTCCTGTAAAGTATCATGACTCTAGGTCAAATACTTTTTGAGTTACATGCGACACATTAAGTTGAAAATTGCAAAATTTTACTAAGTCAAGGGCAATAACTCTAAAAATACTAAAAATATCCAGACAAAAATACCCAGGTGCATAACTACATATGCTGATCAACATTCCTGTAAAGTTTCATGACTCTAGGTCAAATACATTTTGAGTTACATGCGACACAAGTTAAAAATTGCAAAATTTTACTAAGTCAAGGGCAATAACTCTAAAAATACTAAAAATATCCAGACGAAAATACCCAGGTGCACAACTTTCCCATGATCAACATTCCCATAAAGCTTCGTTGAATTCCAGCCATTAGTTGCAGAGAACTACTCTGGAAACCAAATTCGGACGGACGGATGGACGGACGGACGGAAGGACAGACGGACAACGCCAAAACTATATCCCCCTCCAGATTCCATCGGCGGGGGATAATATGTAACACTGTTGGGTAGATAATGAACATAAACTGTAAATTTCATATTATTTTCAAAGTGAAAGAGGTATAACTCTGCCAAAAATCATTGAACCATGACCAAATTCGAACTTGGCTTGGGCATTCCAAAAACATATCCATATGTCAAATTTGAGTTAAATGTGGTGAACCATTGGGGAGATAATAAACGGAAACTGAAAATTTGATATTACTTTCAAAGTGAAAGGGGCATAACTCTGCCAAAAATCATTGAACCATGACTAAATTTGAACTTGACCTGCACATTCCTTTGACGCATCCATATGTCAAGTTTGAGTTGAATGTGTTGTACCTATGGGGAGATAATGAACGAAAACTGAAAATTTCATATCGTTTTCAAAGTAAAAGGGGCATAACTCTGCCAAAAATCATCGAACCATGACCAAATTCAAACTTGACCTGTATTTTTTTCATGACATATCCATATGTCAAGTTTGAGTTGAATGTGTTGTACCTTTGGGGAGATAATGAACGGAAACTGAAAATTTCTTATTATTTTCAAAGTAAAAGGGGCATAACTCTGCCAAAAATCATCAAACCATGACCAAATTCGAACTTGACCTGTATTTTCTCATGACATATCCATATGTCAAGTTTGAGTTGAATGTGTTGTACCGTTGGGGAGATAATAAACGGAAACTGAAAATTTCATATTATTTTCAAAGTAAAAGGGGCATAACTCTGCCAAAAATCATTGAACCATGACCAAATTCGAACTTGACCTGTATTTTCTCATGACATATCCATATGTCAAATTTGAGTTGAATGTGTGCAACCGTTCTTAAGATAATGAACGGAAACTGATGATGACGGAATGACAGAATGACGGAAGGATGGAAGGACGGAAGGATGGAAGGACGGAAGGACGGAATGACGGAACAGGGTAACACTATATGCCCCGGCCATTACATGGCGGGGGCATAATGATAAGATGTGAAGTTCAACAATAAACTGGTCTAGGATTTCTTCATATTTATGGATTGTCCATAAATTTATGTATAGTCTGGAAATTAAAAGATTTTTCAATCCTTAAATTTACAGATATTCAATGTAAAATTTGCTGTTTTTAAGTTTGATTTAATTTAAATCCACAGTTTTTGACAAGTTGTTTTATTAAAAAAATTTTTTTCACTGTTATATTATTATAGACTTTCGGGCTTTAAAACATTAACTAGTGGTTAATTGGGGATCTGTAAATAGTAAATTGTAATAGAAAAATATATTGTGCATTGATTCCATGCAAAAATCCGACGATATTACCACCCGGTGAAAAATTTTAACACAGATAACCGGCGTACCCATAATTTTCGTACCTGAATGTTGCATACCTTGTCTATAATAATATAACAGTGAAAAAAAAAAAATTTAAATTTTTTTTTTTTTTAATATATTCAGGCCTCGACATTAGCGGTGGTCCGTTGGTCCGAGACCACTTGGTTTTGGCAAGGACCACCTAATTTTAAAACCCACTGGTCCGTCGGACCACTAGAATTTTCTGGTTGATACAAGGCTTATTTGGGAGAATGGCGATTTGGTCAAAAACATGTTATATACTTTTGTTTAAAATCATTAATCTATGTCCGATGTACATGTATATGGTTCATTAATCTCTGATTAGTTACAGAAGTTCTTAAGTCATCAATAACTTTCATTTTAAGTCGCTAAAATTTTGTTTATGCAAGTTAAAAGAGTTAAGAATTTGTGATATAAATTTAGGTACAAAATTCATTCAAATGGTGCTAGTAATTATGCATTGTCTGATTACCACGGCGGAACCATTAACATTTTATGTTATGTTACATATTAATCAACCGGGAGTATCCGATGATGGTAATTATATGATATTGGATAAACTTAAATTTCAGATATTTGAATAACGGCAGCAAACGAAAGGAACTGGAAAAAATACATCCAGTAATTCTATGCTATTTATCTTTATTTTAACTGTTTAACGATAAGAGATCTGTTTCTTCTAGAGTTAAAATTATTTTAAAAGGTTAAAAATACCTAATGTCAAAAATGAATATCAAATAGCAAGCAACAGGGAGGTAAAATTATGTATTATAAATATGTGAGAAAATATAAATATCTGAGAAAAATAAGATAAGTTATAGTAAATAATAACGTTGTCATTATTTTAATAATTTAGATATTTCCTTGTTTTCAAAGACAAGAATAAGATAATTTATTAGTTCCATTAAAAATGTTAATCTATAAAAGATGCTATGTTATTTATAATCATGATTATAAGACATACCACGTATCAGCAATGGATATTTGAATAACAGTAAGAAAATAACAGACACAAATGGCTTCACTATATATTCCCTAACTTGAGTTGAGGGAGAAATCACATTAATATAAAAGTTAACATAAATAAGAGCTCTGCTGTGTATTTTTGACTCAGATAAAAACAAATAAACAAATAACTCTACGATAAAATACCTACTGACTTGCTCTCCCTTTTCTGATTAGATGAAAATTATATATCTAAAAATATCTGCTCTCTTTAAAGGTTAATAATACATCTTTGTCATAAAGTTTAAACATTTTTTTGTACATTTGCAGTAAAATGATATAATAATGATAACTGACCACCTGACTTCTGGAAGGACCACCTAACTTTCAAATCTAGTGGTCCGGCATACCACCTGCTAAAAAAGTTAGTGTCGAGGCCTGATATTGATATTTTATTGTAAAAATAACAAGGTCAAACACATTTTAGGTCAAATCAATGCCACTAGCACCTGTGTAAAATACATGATATACATAACATATAAAAAACAACTATCTAAATAGCTCCACCTCGTGGGTGTGTACTAAGTGTCAGTCATCACATCCTCCCTTGATTTGAATAGTTTCTCACGGTATAAATTCATAAACTAATAATATCTACTTCTAATATGAACACCTAGAAAACTAATTGCTTATTAGATAAATATAACACTATAATCCAACTTCTAATGTCAGCACACCCTTTGTTTGATAACACAATTATTATCCAAAGTATGGTTTTACATGACTTGCATTCCTGTACTTGTACTTATCACCTTCACAGATGTGCCCTTTTTACTTACAACCCTACAGATATCATTTGCCCAATTAGTTAACATTTTACCTTTATTTTTCTCATGTCTGAGAATAAGGACTCTCTGCCTTATCTTGAATTTACTGTACCCTTTGGCCATATGTTTGTTTGCCCAATATTGAATTCTTTGTTTCTGTATCCTGTCCTTATTTCTCAATTTTGCGTTTACTCTTATTTTTTCTAACTGGGGAATTTTTGTTTTAATATCTCTGTTAAACATCAAAAATGCTGGTGCAAAATTTGTAGTGCAATGTGGTGTTGCTCTGAAATGTAGCAAAAATGTGTTTAATGCATCTCTCCAATTTTTGTTTTCTGAGATTGCAGTATGAACACACTTTTTTAGAGACCTATTAAAATTCTCTACTAAACCATTTGACCTAGGAAAGTATGGTGTTGACCTACAATGTTTGATGCCATGTTCATGACAAAATGCCTTAAATTCCTCACTGCAAAAATTTGGTGCATTATCCGTTCTAATTTGACTTGGATATCCAAACATTGCAAACCATTTACTTAACTGATTTATGATTGACTTACTTGTGGTTGACTTTAGAATTGCCACTAAAGGATACCTGGTGTAATAATCTATCAGAACCAATAGGTTCTCATTATTTATTGGACCCATAAAATCTATGCTTAGTTCTTTCCAGGGGGAAGATGGAAGTTTTGTCATTACCACAGGAGGTTCTTGCGGGGTTTGAGACACCATCTGACATGCATGACAAGATTTTATCATATTTTCTACTTGTTTGTCTGGGAACCAAACTTTTTCTCTAATTAGCCTTTTTGTTTTCTGTATTCCCATGTGAGATGAGTGGGGGGATTGAAGTACACGGGATTGTAAATGCTCTGGAATGCAGAGTTTATTACTCTTAAAGATAAGAGAATCTTTGACCGAAAGATTATGTCTGACCTGGTAATACGGTTTTAATTGCTGTGATTTTTTCCATTTATTTTTCTCGAGACAAGTGCATACTTGTTTCAAGACTGGGTCACTTTGTGAACATTCTTGAAGTTCATCTAAGGTTACAGCTATTGGGACAGAACAATTTGTAACAAGATGCACATAATTTTCTGTTTGGCTACAGATTGAATCATCTGTTTCCCTAATTGGTTTTCTGGACAAAACATCTGCCCGATTCAGATAACCTGGTAGAAATTGTACTTGAAAAGAAAATGGCTGTACTTTTAAAACCAAGTTTAATATTCTTGGGGTTGATTCATGCCTTCGAGTGAAAATTTTCTCAAGGGATCTACAGTCAGACAAGACTGTGAAATAATTTCCCCATAGATAAACATGAAATCTGAGTATCATATACACAACTGCCAAGGTTTCTCGCTCAGCTTGACTGTAACGCCTTTCTACATCAGACAAGATACGACTTGCATAAGCTATTGGTTTAAATGTACCATCTTTTTGTTTTTGCTCAAGGACTCCACCTACCCCAACAGGAGATCCATCCACAATGAGCCTTGTTTCTGCTTCAGGATTATAATAGGACATGACCCTAGCACTTATGAGACATTGTTTGAGTTTTTCGAAGCTTTCATGCTGGTCATTTCCCCAGACCCAGGGTTCTTTCTTTCGTGTTAATTTTCGCAAGGGCTCAGACAGAGTGGCATAATTTGGGATGAATTTTGAACAGAATGAAACCAGACCTAAGAATGATTTGACTTCTGTGATATTGGTCGAAGGTTCGGCATCTCGGACTGCCATGACTTTTGCGTCATCAATTTTGATGCCATCTTTGGACAGAATATGACCCATGAACTTAAGTTCAGTTTAACAAAACTCACATTTGTCACGGTTCAGAGTCAGATTCTTTTCACACAACCTTTGTAAGACATGGACAAGGGCTTTATTATGTTTTTCAACAGAGTCTGCATAAATAATTATGTCATCAGCAATATTTTGACAATTTGGAATATCTTGAAGCAATTGCTGAATGATTCTCTGGTGTGTTTCTGGGGCCATATTAATACCAAAATTTAGTACTTTGTACTGGTATAAACCCTTGTGACATACAAAAGTGGTAATATATCTTGATTTTTCATCTAGTTCTATCTGATGAAAAGATTGTTTTAGATCTAATTTTGAAAATATTACAGATCCATTCATCTGCATCAAAACCTCCTCTATGTTTGGCATAGGAAATCTTTCCCTCAATATAGCTTTATTTGCCATTCTCATGTCAACGCAAAGTCTTACATCATTATTTTGTTTTGGGATGGGAACTAAATTGGACACCCAGGGAGTCGGACCCTCTACCTTTTCAATAATATCAAGTTTTTCTAACTCGTCTATCTTTTTCTCAACTAATTTTTTCATTTTAAATGGAATTCTTCTGACATTTTGTGCTACTGGCTGAACAGATTCATCAATGTAAAGTTTCAATTTAAAATCTTTAATTCTTCCCAATCCTTGAAATCTATCATCATATTCAGACAAAATAGATTCTGTTGTTTGCTTTTGACCTAATTTAATTTGTGCTGGTTCAAGAGAATGAATTTTCCCAGGCGGCAATGGGCCAATATGAAGTAAACCCAACTTTAAAGCAGTTTCATGGCCTAAAAGTGGTTTGCCTGTACCTTTGAGAATTTGAAACTCGACACTGTGTGTTTCATTATTTACCCTTATGTTGAGATATGCCATACCAATAAGTTTGATTGGTGTTTTGATACCATAAGGATATACCTTAGAACTTGTGGGAAGTAGGCGAGTGTGTTTATGTTTAAGTTTACCAAACAAATGCTCATCAATTATATTGACAGATGACCCACTATCAATTAAAACATCAACTTTTTTATTTTCAAGGACAATTTGGAGAGTGGCAGCATTCTTACCAGAAATGGCGTATATTTCCTCACTGCTATATCCATCAAAATTATCTGTTTCTAAGAAATTTACACTTTTACTTTTACACAGTTTTGCAAAATGGTTTGGTTTTCCACACTTGAAACATGTTACACCTACAGACTTTTTACACTGTTTACCATAATGTCAGATATCCCCACACCTGTAACACTTTGCTGTGCTAATGTCATATTTCTTCCTTTGTTGATGATGGTTTTGTTGGTGCTGTTGAGGTCTTGACTCGAAAATCGAGGCTGTGCTTGCCTTCTTGATCTAGAGCGCATTTTGTTTACTTCTACTTCGTCGACTAAATCATCTTTTGTTTGACATTAACTTCGCATGGGTGTCAGATAATTCAAAGGTTCTAGCTACTTCCTGGAGTCTTTCTAATGTTAAGTTTTTTGTTGTTAACAATTTTTTTCTCAAATCATCAGATGCACAAGATTCTAAAACATGATCCCGAATTTGGTAGTCTTGGTCAATAAACTCACAGGTCCCTGCCAATTTCGACAAACGAACAACATAGTTATCTATTGTTTCACCACATATTTGTTTTGATTGATGAAACACATGCCTTTCGTATTGAATATTCTTTTTGGGTTTGAAATAATTGGATAGACTGTCAGCTGCATCCTTATATGTAGTTCCAGGGCTGCCTAGGCTATCAAAGACATCTTGTATTTGTGACCCACCGAGAATCTTTAGTAACTCCAGCTGCTTGAATATATATTTCAAATCGTTTTTCATATTGTTTCCAAGCTTTTGATAAATTTGTTTGCTCCCCAACTACTATAAATGGTCCTGGTGTTGTTAGTTCAAATTTGGCTGCCATCAGTTTATTTCATGAAGACACTGTTTTAAATGTTTTCTTTGCTTATGTATTTAAATTGTTTCACTCAGATTTTTGTCTTAAATTAATCTGCTTAATTCCACATTTATTGTTTTGGCTTACATTATTTTTATTGTTCAACTTGTTTTTGTTTTTTTCACACTTAAATTGTTTTTAATTCCATTTGTTTGAAGGAATTAAAATTGATTTATTCCAATTGTTTCAAGATCAGAATATTTGTTTTAATCCTCATTTGTTTTATTTTTGTTTTTAAACTTTATCTCCATTACTTGTCGCCAATGTAACATTCTGTTTATTTGAGGATTAATAAAATCAACACCATAGCTTATAATACAGCTTTTTTGTTTTACATTCATACATACACTGTAACTCTCTATAAAATACATGATATACATAACATATAAAAAACAACTATCTAAATGGCTCCACCTCGTGGGTGTGTACTAAGTGTCAGTCATCACACACTTGTTTGCTGATAGATATTTCATTTCATGAAGGGAGATATTTCATTTCATGAAGGGGAAGGGCTAGGGAATTGGGGAGTCTCATTTGGAAGCTTAATACAAACGTAAAATATTGATCAAAGTTGCTTGCTTTTATTTATCTGGACAATTGTTTTCACAACATCCCGGGAAATGAACCGTTGCTCGTAGACTCGAATCTGGTGTTTCCGGCCTTCTCTTAACGCATAGTCCAATACTCGTGCCTGTAGAAATTAATATTCATATTTGGTCCTCCCATTCATATTCGCAAATATGAGTTCATATTTGGTATTTAGACAAACCGTCCCCAGAAAGTACCGAAAAACGGCGTTTAGCTAGGTTTTTGAATTCGTGAATACATTAGATACTACTGCTACAATATTTCTAACTTAATGTCTATAAATTAAAGATAAATATAGGCGTTTAGCTAGGTTTTCGAATTCGTGAATACATTAGATACAACTGCTACAATATTTCTAACTTAATGTCTATAAATTAAAGATAAATATAGGCGTTTAGCTAGGTTCTCGAATTCGTGAATCCATTAGAGACAACTGCTTCAATATTTCTTACTTAAATTGTCTTAATGCATGGGTGCAAGATGAAAATTTGGAAAAGCCTGAAAACCTTTATTCATGATCATTTTCCTACATAATCTAATAGTATCTATAAAACATGACAAAATTTGTCACAAAAAACCTGAGCTTCAGGCATAATTATGCTAGTCCTTCATTGAAAGACATCGCATTTTTTTTTTTTACAGTTTGACGTTTATCGGAAAATGCAAAGTCTTTCCAAAACTGGCTAATTTCCCATAGCACAAATGGGGAGGACGGACAAAACCCCACCACTCAAAATTTTATAGAGTGGACAAAACCCCACCACTAAATTTTAAAGAGTGGACAAAACCCCACCACTAAATTTTACAGAGTGGACAAAACCCCACCACTTCAGTTTTATAGAGTGGACAAAATCCCACACTTACAAATTATTTGGCAAGATTTGATGAATTAAAATATATAATAATAATATACACATTTTTTTCTTCACAATTTTACTAACAATGCATGTACATCTTGCATGTGCAATATGCAAAAAAGGTGTTACAAACTGTACACAAAAAACATCCAAATCCCTTAAGAACAAAACATGATAATTATAGCATATAGTATTTATTTCAATAGCGATTCCACAAATGGACATGCTTCTAGAGTCAATTTAAATTTACCGTTAAATCACAACTTAAATGTTATTTATCACAAAAAGCAACTGATAGCATAAAAAACAAAAGTATATTTTCTCCAAAACTGTATGAATATGCAAAAATTACTCACAATAAATAGTTTATTTATCCGTATTTTTAACTCATTCAGCCCTGTACACTGTCTACCACTTAAACCCTACTGATAACTGATAAGCCAACTCCTAGGTACCTTATTGATTTTATCTAACCTGTCTCCCCGAGGGATGTTGCACAGTTTTATTGACAGGTCATAAATAATAGGGGGTGCATTATGTAATTTGCCTCTGGCAATCTCATTTTTAATCCAATCAAGCTGAAATGACACATAAATGTTGGCAATAAAATTACCTAATCAGTGGTGTAACTTCCATCACTATGGCAACATGCTGGACTGATTTATTATCAATAAAGTAAAGAAGATTTTCAACATAAAATCAGTTTATCTGCAATAAAAGAACTTTATTTATTGTACAATTTTCTATTAAAACATTCTTCTCCATAATATAATAATTTAAATAACATATTGAGAAATTTACTGCTAATTTACAAATTAGAAATGAATACTTTGGAAGCATTATGCAAATAAATAAGTATAGTAATGACTAATGAGGAAATATAAGTATTATGTTATGGAGCACATAAAAACAGAAAAGAAATGTAACAGTAATGGTGCAGAGGTGTATATACATCAGAAATACATATTTATTAAAAACAAAACTTTTATTTTCCTGTTGTTATTTTTAAGGAAAATTTCAAAGAAAACAATAAATAATTTATCTTTACTAGAGTGTCTTAAAGTAAGAATGTATTAGCCAGAAAAAAAATCGATATATGAAATATGAATGAAAATTGTTATATGTGTGGATTAATTTTAGATAATTTCAAAATTGTATATTATAATTATAAAAATTATATATAATAATATAAAAATAATTAAAAAATATATATATAAATTGTAACGTATTTACATTTTTGTATTTCTTACATTAGAACAGATACTCTTATTTTCTGGAGATTTCAATTATGTTACTTTTCTGGATAAAAGGAATGAAAAAAGGTCATCAACTAAATATTTTTGTAAACAAAATCCAAATTACTGTCTACAAAGTAGCTCAATCAGAAACACAGGAAAGAACAGTTCAAAGAAATCAAACTCATTTGAGTCCGAATCAAGATCTGTAGTAGGTCCTGTATTTGGGCCTGTGAATGGTCTCTTAGGCAAGTCTGACCGATCGTTTGCCTTCCACTGAGAATATTCCACATTTTTGTCCGCACTTTCATTTTCACTTTGACTGTAACTATCCAATACTATCTCACTTTCACTATCGAGACTAATGTCACTCTCTGAATTTGCGCCAT